ATATATATATATATATATATATACATACATAGATACATACATACATATATATACTTACTGTTAAATTAAATTTATATAATTATGGATTATTCATATTATTAACATGATATAATATTAAAATATCAGATTTCATAATTATTCATAAATATAATGTATTTTTGATATCTATAAAGAATATATTAAATCAAGTAAATACATTTGATGTTTGCAAAATGTAAATACATATGTGTGCATTTTTTATTATAGATAATGTTTATATAATTATATATAATAATAAAAAATAATAAAAAATCTAATGTTTATATATTTGATCTAGACATAAAAATAAACCCCTGACAAATATAGAACCCTCACATCCTAGTCAGTGTCGACAGCTGTTTACTGAGATGCAGTTGTTTCCATCTGCCTCTGATAATGAAGTGCAGGATGAATGTCCCCACACTGAGTTGAAGCCTCAGGTACAGCACTGCACTGTGGGAGCTCAGACACAGACAGCTAGGCTCCAGCGCTCTGGGTAGAAGTGTGAAACAGGCTGTCGGTCGGCTGCACCTCATGTGTGAATGAACTCATTTGAAGAAATCATACCACCCATTACTGGGAGTTCAGCTCTGGATCCTGGAAGGAACGCAGTCATTTTCAGCCCACAGTATTGTGTTTCATCTACTGATAGGAAATCTCACAGTCTGGAGCCTGTGAAGACGCCAGCTTCCCCATGATTGGCTAATATGCTTTTGGGGGAGGGAACTGGGTTTTAACAATGGATTTGGAGTCTAACAACAGTTTAGACACAATATAGATTGTCAGGGGTGTTAAATAAACTTACTAGTACAATTTATGGTTTTAAAAAGCTTAGTGAGACTGAGACTGATGCTTTCAAGATTAGAAAAGGACACAAAAGCAGTGTAAAACTATCATAAATGTTGCCCATATGACTCATGCACTATATTCCACTAAAATGTAAAGCATTATTGATTAAAAGTCATAATATCTACCCTAGCTCTCCTTCAAGAGTTCAAACGAGTTCATTAGTGAAGCAATATGTCATTAAATCACTCTATTAATTCTGATATCATCTAAATATTAACAATCTGGTTCACAACAATTGGTCTAATTGTTTTGTTCACAAAGCTAACTGATCAAATTCTCAGGTTTAACTCAATTCAGAAGCAGCACTTTAAAACAAACAATTGTCTGCAAATAATGACTTAAATTTCCAGCCATTTGTGCTATTGTAATATTTTTCTATAGTATTATTATTCACATAGTTCATAATTGTAATTCATATTTTTTTTAAACATTTTTTGTTATATTTTTTTTCATTTTTAATTTTAAGCAATTTTGCAATAATTATGTGCTTTTGCCATTTCAAATTTATTTAAAATGTATTTAAAAAATATGTCTAGTCAAAATTATGACAGTTATAATCATGAGATCGAAATTATGAGATAAAGTCAAAAGTATGACAAATTAAAATTACCACATTAAATTTGATCTTTGTCATAATTATAACATAATTATGACATATCTCATAGTTTGAACTTTTTATATTTATGACTTACTATATGACTTGCCATTTTGGCTTTTTATCTTAAAATTTAGACTTTTAAATAACATTTTTGATTTTTTTTTACTGTCATAATTACAACATTTTAATCTCATAAATTAGAATTTGATCTCATAATTTTGACTTTTTATGTCATTACTATTTATCACTTGCCATTTTGGCTTTTATCTTAAAATTGTGACTTTTAAACAACAATTTAGATTTTATGTCAAAATTACAACATTTTCATCTCATAATTTCACATTTTTAATCACATAATTTAGAATTTGATCTCATAATTTAGACTTTTTATGTCATTACTATGACTTATTAATCTCATAATTATGATTTACCAAAGCCAAAACCAAAACCAATTTCATTTTCTCATAATTTAGACTTTTTATGTCATTACTATGACTTATTAATCTCATAATTATGATTTACCAAAGCATGATTTTTTTCTTACGTGGCGGAAATGGGCTTCCATACTTATGTGATAATTAATATTATTTAATAAATATTTTAATATTATTTAATAATATTTATATTTTATATGAATAAATATGATTAAATAAATATTTGTATTTATATTTTAGTGTTCAGTTAGTAATTTTAATTAGTTGCCAAGGCAACATTTCAAATTTTTCAATTAGTTTAAGTTTTTATTTACATTAATTTGAAATATTTTATTTTATTTCAGCTTTATTACAGTTTAAAAAATTTTTTTTAAGCTTTAGTTAACAATAACAACACTGCATTTCTCACACAAAGCTATCGCATGACTCCTCAAAATCTCCTTTTGTGTTCCACAGAAGAATGAAAGTCACATGGGTTTGGAACGACATGAGGGTGAATCAAAGATAAAAGAACTATTCCTTTAAGCCTCAGGCAAAGTCTTTCCGTCAACCACAATTCAGCTCTAAAACGTTATATTCTGTTTGTCATCGAAGGCTAAACGTGTCCCCAGACGCTGCTACACTTTCTCCCTCCCTTTTGAGGTGTTATAGAGGATACCGTCCTCGTTTCCTCTCATCAACATACACCGTGCGGACGGGTCGTCAGTGGCAGGACATTGTAGCATAAGCAACTTTTGAGGATTAAATATGACATGAGGTCCATCGACCAGGCGGGGAACAACGGAAGCACAAAACAAAGTCACGTAAGGAGATCTGACAAACAGAAATATGTTTCGCAAGCCATGACAATGTCTGGACAACCTTTCCCTCTCTGCACCAACTTGAACTTAAAAAAAAAATGCAAAAAGACATAAATGCCAAATGTCTCTTTTCTCACGCTCACAATATCTGAAGGCTGTTCTTTAATTTTAAGTTTCAGTGACACACCAAACACGTAAAACCTAAGATTGAGTATAAAATGCTGTGTCGTTGAGTCATTCTCTTCAATATGTATGCCCACAGATGCTGCATTCTCTAAGGTAAGAGATGACCTTCAGTTTAAATCAGCGCTGTGTCTCTGGGCAGGATGAGAAAAGCATTGTGGGAATGTACAGTGTGTTCGCCCCCTGCTGGAAGACAATACATACTGCATTCTCTCGCCTTTGAGCAAAGAACACTATGCCAGGGAGTTCTCATGGCATCTTAACATTTAGCAATAAAAACATTTATGGATAGTTGTGTTCTAAATTCTGATTGGATAAGCTGCATTCAAAGCCATTGTAATGATGGATGTGTACATGTGACCACACATTTGCTGAATTGTACATAAATGTATGCCATAAGCATAAAAATACAGCTGACTAAGAGTCATTTATGTATGGAAGCCCTTTTCTACCACAAAAGAAAAAGTATGTCATAATTCTGACTTTTTATATCTGACTTAGTATGTCATCATTTTGACTATATATGTATAATAAATACAACTTTTTATCTCATAATTATAGTGTCTTAATTGTGTCTTTTATCTCATAATTATGACCTAGTATGTCATAATTTTGACTTCTCATAATTTTGACTTTTTAAATCTCAAAATGTACATTTTTTATCTCATAATTATGAATTCTCATAATTGTGACTTTTTAATCTCTAAATTTAGATTTTTAATATCATATTTTAAACTTTTATATTATAATTATAATTTTTATTTCATAATTTCAATTTTTTTATCTCATAATTATGACCGTCAATTTTGACGAATTTATCCCTTCATTTTGACTTTTTAATCTAATAATTTCATTTTTTTAAATATTTTTTATTGTAATTTCAACTTCTATCTCATAACTATGACTGTAATATTTTGACTTTTTAATCTAATCATTTAGATTTTTTATCTCATAATTTCAACTTCTATCACATAATTATGACTGTCATAATTTTGACTTTTTATCTCATAATTATGATTTAGTATGTAATTTTGTATTTTTAAACTCATAATTTAGATTTTTTTATTTCATAATTGTAACTTTTTATCTCATTATTTTTACTTTGACTATATCAGTTTTGACTTTGTCTCTATTCATTTTAATCTCATATTTAAAATTTTCCAAAGCGTGATTTTTTTTATGGCAGAAATGGGCTTCCATATTTATGTGATAATTATTTTTATTTATTAAATATTAGTGTCTTTTATCTTTCTACATTTGTTCATATACATAACACATACCTGTGTTGCTCCAAATAAAGCTTTAACCTCAATGGGGTGGCTTATACTTTGGCCAGAGCTTGTTGAAACATCATACTCTTTTTCTGTACTCTGACTGGTCTGTCCTAGCTGTCCGTAATTTGCTCTGCCCCATGTAAAGACCCGCCCACTCTCTGTGAATAGATAATATATTGTTAACCGTATCGCCAGAAAAAAAGCTTTAAGAAAGATTTGTGTGAGAAAGTGTGTAGTATGACTCACCAGTTTTTGCGACAAGATGCGTCCAGCCGCTGTGAACGTCAGTCACTCTCTCGCCCTGCAGCAGAGATCGATCCAGAGCCACAGGAAGTGGCAAGAAGAGGCTCTCGCTGACCAGCTGACCATGTTTATTGCTTCCCCAGAGGAACACGTCACCTTTGACTGTAGAAATATGGGATTTTGTCTCTATCCCTACCAATCAGAGGTAGAGGACAAAATCAGTGTCATTTGAAAGTTCTCTCACCTGTCAAACAAATGCAGTGGGTGGAGCCTGCAACTACCTTCTGTGGGGTCACGTGATCAAACCCTGCAGATGAGAAAGTCAGCACAAGTGCTAGAAATAATTATAAATTAAACTTATAATTTAACAGACATTAATGAGGTACACTAATAAAAAGTACTTATTTTTTATAAGATGTCATGATGTATCCCAATGTGAGGCTGATTCAGCTTTAAGCACAACTCTGTGACTTATTTAATATGTTGAAGTTTTTTTAATATTTAAAACAAATATACATGTTTAAGGATAATGACATTTAAATGATAATAATTATGATCTTTAAATTTCAAAATAATATCAAATATAAAATTATTTTAATATACTTGATATAAAACCTAGATTTATTTTTAATATTTAAAACAAATATAAACACATTAAGACAAATAATTAAACATGATATAAACATTTTTATATCTGATATATTTATTCATATGCAATTGTAATATTAAAATAAAAGGAATATTAATATATATATATATATATATATATATTTAATATATAATAAGAATATTGAATACACAATGGAATATTTTTTATGTTTGATGTTTTCAATATTTGAACAAATAATAATATTAAAATGTATTTAATATATCATTATAATAATTAATAAAAATAATTAAGGAGGATATATAGAATAATTAATATATAAATATTAAATTATAAAATTATTATTTCTTATATGCGATTAAAAAAATCTATATTTATTATCAATATTCAAAACAAATATACATACATACATATATAAAGACAGATAGATAGATAGATAGATCATTAAATATTGTGATATTGAAATTATAATTATTTTAATCTGTATGTAATATATCATTATAATAATTAATAAAAATAATTAAGGAGGATATTATAATAGAATAATATATAAATATTAAATTATAAAATTATTATTTCTTATATGCGATTAAAAAAATCTATATTTATTATCAATATTCAAAACAAATATACATACATACATATATAAAGACAGATAGATAGATAGATAGATCATTAAATATTGTGATATTGAAATTATAATTATTTTAATCATTAAATTACAAAATTATTAAAATAAAAGTTCTTACATGTGATATAAAAATCTATATTTACTTTCAATATTTCATAAAGATAATAATAATTTGAAAAATATAATGTTAATCATAAAATGTAACCTAAAACACGTTATATATTTGATATTTATTTTACATATTTATATGTAATACCTGTACTTGCTAATGCGTGTCTGAGCCCTGCAGCCACACTAGTTACCGGCTCATTCAGGGTCTGCAAACAGAACAAAACATGATATTATTACAAACCTCACACTTACACACTTATCATGCAAGAGTCTCATTATATTCTCAGCTCTCACCTTCACGTGTAAAGGTTCTGCTGAGTGTGTTATTCCTGGCGAGACGCCCAGCTGTCCAAATGCATTGGAGCCGCACACCAAGACCTGACCGTCACCTGAAAGACACAGATCAGATATCAGTTATTCAGCACTCAATTAAACCAGAGGAAGTCTCCATAGGCAGATCTAAGAGCACTTGATCTAATCAAACTCTAAACAAAACCACTCAAAAATAACTGATGTCTGCAACACCCAAGCCTTTTAGTTTTCTACCCAGGCTCTCAATAATGAAGCCTGTTTCCGCCACTGAATAAAAAAATAAAAAAGATAATTGCGACTTTTTTTTCTCGCAATTGCGAATTTACATCTCGCAAATCTGACTTTGTTTCTCAGAATTGTGAGATACAAACACAATTGCGAGTTATAAAGTCAGAATTGAGAGACATAAACTCACAATTCTGACTTTTGTTCTCGCAATTGCGAGTTTGTATCTCGCAATCTTGACTTTTTTCTCTCGGAATTGTGAGATACAAACTCGCAATTGCGATTTATAAAGTCCAGTTCTGAGGAGAAAAAAAGACTGATATGTTGTCAGAATTGCAAGTTTATAATTCACAATTCTGACTACTTAAGTCGCAATTGCGAGTTTATATCATATAATTCTGACTTCATTTCTCAAAATTGTGAGTTTATATCTCAATTCTGAGGGGAAAAAAAGTCAGAATTGCTAGATGCAAAGTCGAAATTGCGAGTTATAAAGTCAGAAATGGGAGATATAAAGTCAGATTTGCGGGATATAAAGTCAGATTTGCGGGATATAAACTCGCAATTACGAGAAACAAAGTCAGAATTTCGAGATATAAACTCAGACATAAACTCACAATTCTGACTTTTGTTCTCGCAATTGCGAGTTTGTATCTCGCAATCTTGACTTTTTTCTCTCGGAATTGTGAGATACAAACTCGCAATTGCGATTTATAAAGTCCAGTTCTGAGGAGAAAAAAAAGACTGATATGTTGTCAGAATTGCAAGTTTATAATTCACAGTTCTGACTACTTAAGTCGCAATTGCGAGTTTATATCATATAATTCTGACTTCATTTCTCAAAATTGTGAGTTTAGCCTATATCTCAATTCTGAGGGGAAAAAAAGTCAGAATTGCTAGATGCAAAGTCAGAATTGCTAGTTATAAAGTCAGAAATGGGAGATATAAAGTCAGAAATGGGAGATATAAAGTCAGATTTGCGGGATATAAACTCGCAATTACGAGAAACAAAGTCAGAATTTCGAGATATAAACTCACAATTCTGACTTTTTTTCTCTCGCAATTGCGAGTTTAATTGTGAGTTTATTGCGAGTTATAAAGTCCAGTTCTGAGGAGAAAAAAAGATTCTGTCATAATTGCGAGTTTATCATTCACAATTCTGACTTAATAACTCACAATTGCGAATTTATATCATACAATTCTGATTTCATTTCTCAAAAATGTGATATCTCACAATTCTGAGAAAAAAAGTCAGAATTGCGAGTTGTAAAGTCGAAATTACGAGAAAAAAGTCAGAATTGTGAGATAAAAAGTCGCAATTACCTTTTTTTATTTTTTATTCAGTGGCGGAAACGGGCTTCCATACAATAATCTGCCACACAGAGTCCAGAATATGTATTTGATGACCGTCACTCACCAGTCAGAATAACGGAGAAGTCCCAACCACAGGACACCTGCTGAACTCTTGAGCACCCAGTCAAAGGGCAGGGCTGAAAGGTTATGACCTCTGACGTGTGACTGAGCCCTAATTGACCTTTGTGGTTCTGTCCACACATCAGCAGCTCACCTGATTCTGGGTGGAGGAATGTTTTTGTAATACTTAACTTGACCGCTAGAGAGCGACATTGTTTCACAAATAAAAGGTCAGCAATTCCAGAAACAGTTTCAGGATTATTTCACAAATCCTTTCAGAGTGTTTACATTAATATCTATTATTTCCACAGTGTTATAGGCGATATTACCCGTGATGACAGCGGAATGTCCGCCTCCTCCGGCCATACAGCGGGTCTGCTCCGCCTGCAGGCCGCCGTCTGCTCGCCGCGGCTCGGCTTGATCTTCACTGTGTCCCTGTCCGAGCTGCCCGTAACTGTTGGCTCCCTGTGAAGCGAAATCACCATTTATGGTTTAGTAAGCTTTGTTTTGTGAAATTATTTCAGATTGCTCATATTCATTTATATTTTGACAAATGTGAATTTCACGTATTCTCGTGGATTGAAAGATTGTAGACCGGTATCACTGCAAGTGTGTAAGTTTTGCACAATGAAAAGTTAAAAAAAAAACTTACCCACGTGTACAGTACACATTTTAACAGCTGCGTTCCTTCCATCAGATTTAGGCGCAAATTGATGACATCGCCATGAACTCATGTAAACGCCACTAGTTTCCTAGATTTAAGAAACATTGGGTAGAATGGCGATGCAATCCCAAAGTGGGCGGGGCCACTTTTTTTAGCCATTGTTTTAAATACAAGTCACAAATTCTATGAAAATATTCAATAATAATATTAAAACCTATTATAATATCTTATTATAATATTAAATATATCATTTTAAGTCTGACCTTTATTTTCAATATTTAAAACAAATTATAATATTAATATGCATTTATTATATAATTAGAATTTGATATAAAATCAAGAATTTCAATAATTTCATTTTGTTTCAATATTTAACACAAAGTGGGCGGGGCCACTTTTTTTAGCCATTGTTTTAAATACAAGTCACAAATTCTATGAAAATATTCAATAATAATATTAAAACCTATTATAATATCTTATTATAATATTAAATATATAATTTTAAGTCTGACCTTTATTTTCAATATTTAAAACAAATTATAATATTAATATGCATTGATTATATAATTAGAATTTGATATAAAATCAATAATTTCAATAATTTCATTTTGTTTCAATATTTAACAATGTTATATGCATATACCTATTAAGACTAATAACTAAATATTAACATTTGAATTATAATAATTGTAGTAATTAAATTAGAAAATTATAATATTAGTTATATCTGAGAAATTTATTTTCAGTATTAATATACATATATATGTACTAAAACAAATAATTAAATAGTATGATATATAAATTATAATAATTAAAGATGAAAGTATATTATTTTTTATATTTGATATAAAAACTATTTTTACACATAAATGCATATTAACAAAAAATAATGAAATCTTAATACTAAAATTACAATATTAAATTATAAAACATAATATAACATGTAATTTAAAATGGAATTTTAATTCTAAAACAAAATGTATGATTTGATATTTATTTCATATTTTCATATGTAAAAATACAAATCACAAACAAGTAGGCCTATCAGAAAGGACGATAGTATTCAAAGAAAAGGAAATTAAGTACAAAAATATAACAGTTGTTCGTTTTTGACTTAGTCACGTGGTGTCTGTTTCTTTTCTCAGCGCAGGTCAGCATAAACCAATCACAGGCGTCTGAGATCACAGGAGATTAAAACGTTTATAGATACTACTACTACTACTCGAGCCGCTTTCCATTTATTTCTCAGGTAAATATACTTGTATACATAGAGTTATAGGATTAAAACATTTTACTTTCATACACATATGTGTCCTATATGACAAATAATGTCTTGAGATTTGAATAAGACTATTTCGCCATTTGAGCCGACAAGCGCCCCTCAAGAGCACGATTGTTTGTACATTAGAACATGAAATGTAAAGAAGAAAATAAGAAACTGTACACTTACACCATATGGCATTTACAGTAGAAAAACAAATATTTATTTTATTATAAGCATATGAACTCTTTAATAATGTCTAGCAATAAATTTCTCTACAACCTAAACCTGAACTGATAGGCATACTTCGTTCAGAGTTTCTAACGAATTACTTATAGAGACGCTAAGCATTCATTTGTAACTTGTAAAAATATTATTCCATGTCCAATGCAATATTTACATGCATTTGAATAAATACAGATTATTCCAGGTCCTACTCCATGTAGACATCCATTTTAAATAAAGAAACAATAACACATAGCATACACAATGTTTCATAGACTCACGAAGATACTGTTTATATACTAAAATATCTATAAGACAGTATCTCTGAATAGATAAACATAAGGTGCCAATTTGAAATGACATAAATGCAAACTGAAACCATCAATATATTAGCAGACATCAATTTTGCACAAGACTAACGGTCGGTCACATGTGTAGCCTTAATTTAACCTAAACCATTGTGGTCACCTTGCATAAATACCACCTTGTCAAGTAGAAATCTCACATAGAATACAAGAACTCCACTTGCAAGCATTTAGCACAGCTTTTGTTGATCCACATATTTAATCAAACAAGAGCCAAACTAATTATATAAACAGACACAAGGATTTGACTTAGTTTGGTGGGTTTTCATGCCATACATGATTTGGAGAGTGAAGTACTGTGACAAAACAGATGAACTGGTACATGAAGTAATGGACGATTTGCTGGGAAATGTTTAGTTTTTCAGACTCCTAACTGTTTGTTTAGCCTGCTTAGTGCATCTGCAATGATGTCCAGCTCATGTCTTAGTTCTTCCACCACGTTGTTGATGCTGGTCGTGTCCTTCAGAACATCTACGCTCTGTGTGTACGGGTTGTAGCGCACTGAGAATGGCCTCTTGATGGTCTTTGCAAACTCCCTAAAAATAAATTCAATTTTAAATGCAAATTATAGTGCTAAGTACTCAGATGATATATGCAGTAAATACTTTTTAGCAATTTTATTATCATTTAATTCACTTTAAGAATACAGTTTCATTTTCTATTACCTCATTTTGACCTTTGCTTCCTCGAAGGTGTCCGAAACAAAGTAGACATCCTGAAAGGTGGTGATGATGCACTCCTGTTTGCATGTCACATTGGGGTCAAAGGGCAAGATCCTGGCATTTCCTGAGAGTGCATGCTGGACGAAAAGGAACGATCATCTCTATTTATAAGGTGCAAAACATGCATTATGCATCATGTAGAGAAAGCTTTTGTGGTTCATTACCTTCAGCTCGCTGATGGAGGACAGCAGACCGGCTCCATAAGCTCTCAGTCTCCCTTCTTGCTTACAGAGGCCAAACTCCACAGTGAAGAAATAACACTGAAACATAGAATGGAATTGTTAATAAATATGTATTTGTAGTATATTTACATAAAAACACTCAAATCTGAAGGCCTGTCATTACTTACAGTGGCGAGTTTCTGTATAGAGTCTTCCGATGCTCCCAGTGACGCGAGACCGATCTCCTGACTGAACTGAGCAAAACTGGGCTCGGCCAAAAGAGGGACATGTCCAAGCAGCTCGTGACATGTGTCTCTGAAACAGACAGACACGTTCACATGATCACTTGCTCAGAGTAACAATTCCTGTATCAGTACAGTTCTCTAATTATAGCAAACAAAGATAAAGTCTGTTGCATATCTACTATAAAAATCTTTTTTTTTTCAGTGAAATAAACATAATTTATAAAAAATATGTATATTTTGTATATTTTTAATATATAAAGATATACAAAAATGTGTATATAAAGACAGATATATGAAATATAAATGTTAAATATAAAAAAATTGTTTTATATACATAAACATAAATTACAAATGTATATACGTATACTGTATATACACACACACACACACATACATAAACTGTAAACACATTTAATATAAAACAGAAAAACATGTATTTTATATAGTGTGTATATATAAATGTATATATATATATATTTTTTTATTTGATATAAATTTGATATCTAATATCCTTTTTTGTAAATATATTCGAGTGACAGTCATACCATAGTTATGTTTGCTAACATTTGATTGTTTGTGTACTCACGGCTCGGGTGTGTAGAGGGGGTCTGAGCTGTGTCGCACATACTGAGTGCAGTGAAAAACACGGAAGGCCAGACCTGCCAGGAAGTCTCGTGGGGAGAGATACCCAGCCACAGGCCTGATGGTGAAGCCGGTGCGCTCTGAAGCAGTTCATAAAGCAATGTTATAGAGAAAAGAGTCTATAAACCCTGAACAAACCAACAATTAAAGAACTGACGTCCCTTTCTCTCACCTTTGAGGAAGCGCGAGACGTCCTCCAGCTGCGGGATGTTGTCCTCGCGGACGTCACAGTGTTTGATGAGCAAGGGCAGGTTCTTGAGGTACTCGCGGATATAAATGTTAAATATAAAAAAATTGTTTTATATACATAAACATAAATTACAAAAATAAATTATATATGAAGCACCAAACAGGAAATAATTATATAAAAGCTGAATATATAAATGTAAATTGTGAATATATAGAAGTAAATCTGAATATATTTATAAATCAGAATATATAAACATAAATCAGAATATATAGTTATAATTCTGAACATATAGAAGTTAATCAGAATATATATTTAAAAATCTGAATATAAACAGGAAATAATTATATAAAAGCTGAATATATAAATGTAAATTGTGAATATATAGAAGTAAATCTGAATATATTTATAAATCAGAATATATAAACATAAATCAGAATATATAGTTATAATTCTGAACATATAAATGTAAATCAGAATATATATTTAAAAATCTGAATATATAAATGTAAATCAGAATATATATTTAAAAATCTGAATATATAAATGTAAATCAGAATATATATTTAAAAATCTGAATATATAAATGTAAATCAGAATATATAGTTAGAAATCTGACTATATAAATGTAAATCTGAATATTTAGTTATAAGTCTAAATTTATATAGATACAAATTGTGATATAAAAGTGTAAATCACGAATATATAGAAGTAAATCTGAATATATAGCTTTAAGTACTTATAATTCTGAATATATACATGAAAGTTCCAATAGCCTATAGATAAAAAACTGAATAAATAAATGCAAAATATTGTGAATTTGTTTTATGTATAAAAATACAAAATAGAACAAATATGTATATAATGTGTAATAATATACAAATGTGTATATTATTTTTAATAATATATTATATATATATATCCTTGCTACGTTTCTGGACTTGGGAACATTTCAGTTGCGTTGCTGTCTATGCAGGGTCAGACAGCTCTCAGATTCCATCAAAAATATCTTAATTTGTGTTCCGAAGATGAACGAAGGTCTTACTGGTTTGAAACGACATGAGGGTGAGTAATTAATGACAGAATTTTCATTTTTGGGTGAACTAACCCTTTAATATAAAATAGGAAAAAAATACATTTTATAAAGTGTGTGTATATATTTAATTTAGATATGATTTTATATATAATACACTTTTCTTTTCTTTTTTTGTAAATTTATTAGAGTGACAGTCATTCCATCATTTATAGGCCCTGCATGTATTCATATCATAAGTTTGCAAATATTTGATTGTTTCTGTACTCACGGCTCAGGTGTGTAGAGCGGGTCTGAGCTGTGTCGGACATACTGAGTGCAGTGAAACACACGGAAGGCCAGACCTGCCAGGAAGTCTCGTGGGGAGAGATACCCAGCCACAGGCCTGATGGTGAAGCCGGTGCGCTCTGAAGCAGTTCATAAAGCAATGTTATAGAGAAAAGAGTCTATAAACCCTGAACAAACCAACAATTAAAGAACTGACGTCCCTTTCTCTCACCTTTGAGGAAGCGCGAGACGTCCTCCAGCTGCGGGATGTTGTCCTCGCGGACGTCACAGTGTTTGATGAGCAAGGGCAGGTTCTTGAGGTACTCGCGGCAGGCGTGTGTGGGGTAGAGTTTATTCAGCTCCCTGAACACCACTCCCCATGTTTTCACCTCCTCCTCTGTGAACTCTATACGGGGAATGGGGTCTCCACTGATGGAAGGGCCAACTTTTAATTAGACTTATATTAAATGTGTGTTACTCTTATGTTAAAGTATATTTTAAAACTCACTGTTTGTAGCTCATAGCCAAGTCTGCAAAATACTTCCTCCTTTTGCGATAGACGTTGTCCTTGAATCCCTGTCGTAACACAATCATAACAGTGAGCAACATGATGACATCACACTGATGCGGTAATCGAGATGAAACGTTGCCACTTACTGGATGATCCGCATCCAGGTCTGATCCGTACATCAGCACGCGGTTCGCACATTTATCCAGATCTGAAATCTTCTTCGGGAACCACGGGACATTCTCCATCTCTGGAAAAAAAAACAAGTCAAATATTGAGTATTTGTATAGTAGTTTAAAAACGTCACATCTGTCTGATATTGTCACGCATTCCTGTACCGCTTTCTTCAGGCAGGCGGTTGTCAGGCGCGTCCATCTCGAGCACGTTCACGTGTTTTCTCAGCAGCTGAAGGATCTCGTGCAGCTGCTCGCGGTTGCTGTCGCAGTCTACAAAGATCTCGAACTCTGAGTTGCGCCTTTTGGATTTTCTGGACTCAATGTGCACCAGGTTGATGTGGTTTTCCTGTTGATTTATATATGATGGTTAATGTTATCCTTTTTAAATCAAGTAAAGGAATATTTAAACATGCAAGAAAATCGGTCTTGCAACCCTTCACCTGGAAAAGTTTTAGTGCCTTGACAAGCCCACCGACTTCATTCTTCAAGGAGAACACAACAGCAGCCCGGCCTCTCTCTGTAGACGCGGTTTTGTTGTCTTTATTCTCCTCGATCTTTGGAAAAGCAGATTTGTTCATCTGTAAAACACAGGCACAAAACATAAATAAATGTCAGATGAGGTCAGGCAGAATTAGGTAATCAAAGGTCATTTGTAAAGCTGAAAATTATATAGGATTTTCCCCCCCTTCATTTATTGTTTTACATGATTTATGTGTAGCATCAACATCTTCAGCTCACTTTAAATCCAACCCTAAGTCATGTGCTCATGACTTGTCAATCAGATCATATGGATTAAAGTGTGTGGTAAACAACACTTAATCCCTTTTAAGGCCACACTTACAACTTTATTTGTATTCGTCTAAAGGTTTTGAACTTTCCTGTTAAGAGTGCAAAACTTTCGGATCATGTTATAAAACAACATTAAAAAAAGAAATAATAAATAATAAGTTATAATATAACTTATAATAAGTAGTTTTTATAAAAATAAAAAATAAATAAATAAATATAAGTTTTTGTGAATTTATTACAGTGATAGCCATACTATCATAATTTATAGGCATTCTGTCATTTCTGCTCATTTTTATAAGTTTCAACTCTATTAGATTTAGAAGTGAAATTCAAAGTGGTCAAAAAGTGCAATTAACTTCACTGCAGGATGCCACTTTGATTAGACTGTTTTGAGACAGCAATTAAACTCCGATTTTAATTGTAGTCATTTTTACAGTTTGTAGTTTTATACATTAAAAAAAAAAAAAATACTAAATATTGGTCACTGAGGGGTTCGTTTTTAAATAATCCTAAACTACAACAAACTCCAGTTGCGAACAGGTCATCCGATTAAAGGTGCTGGTTCCTGCGTCAGTTCAGCACCGTGGACAGCGACAGTCATCATGACCTGCTTAACATAAGTACCAGCAGAGGGACGCTCCGCGAGCCCTGCCCCAAGGTTGCAGACGTGGGATTAAGTCCAAGAAGTCACACCGATAATTATGATTAGTGATATAAGAAATATACAATGTATATGAAGTACATACATCCATACGCATTTAAAAAATGTTTACATATTTTTACATGTTTACATATTTAATGTAAATATTTAAATAATTTATTTAATTTATATATTTAAATAATGTAAATGTTTACATATTTTAAATTATATGTTATGTTGTTTTACATATTTAATTACATTTATTGCTTTTGCATTTCTGAAAATCTACACTGTAAAAAATGACCGTGAATTTAATGGTAAAAGACTGTAAAAATGCTACAGTAAAAACCTGTTAAATGGTTAATGGTAAATTCCCCTACTATATACGGTGAAAAACTGTATTGGACATTACATGTATTGGACATTAATTTTACAGTAGTATACCGTTTTTGGAAGTGAAAAAGACCGTATAATTTACAGTGAATAACCGTAAATTGACATTCCCAGAATTCCCTGCGTTACATTTCAAATTTGATGTTTTTTTGTTGAAATAACTATGTTTCTTTTTAGTTTTTTCTTATCAGTTTTGTATATTAGGGTTGTGTGTTACACCTAATGTTGTTAAATGAATGTTTATTGCATTATTTCAGTTTCACGTGTGTTACCATGATGGTGTTTGGTGTTTGTGTGAATGACACTGTGCACCTTCAATATATGTTATTATTTAAAAGCTGCTTGTGATAGGCTTTGGTTCATCGTGTGACTTTCTCATCACCACCTGCATTTGGTGGTTATCAGTGTATTACAAAAGTACAAAACAGATTTCAGTACTTCAATAGGTTGGTATATTAACATTATATCAGTTAATGAAAATACGGTATTTAACTGTAAATTTAAGTTAAAACCGTAAAACCTAAAACGTTGCTACCGTATTTTTTACGGTAAAATTCCGGGAACCACAGCTGCTGGTTTCTTACCGTAAATTTTACGGAATTTTTTTTACAGTGTACCGAGCACGACAGAATGACCATCACTCCTTTAATGGCAACAGAGATCAAACAAAAATGCCAAAAGGTGTCTAGAAAATCTTTAATATTAAATAAATAACTAGCATCAAATAGTATTAAATAAATAAGTAATAAATAAATAAATAATATTTAATGTATAAATAATATTTGCATTTTATATTGAGTCATATAAGAATTAATCATTTAATTGAATTTAATTTCTATGAGAGAATGACAATCAGCTCCTTTACTAGAAATTCAAACAAAAATGCCAAAAGATCTTTAATAATCTTTAAACAAATAATTAGCATGAAATAGTATTAAATAAATAAATAATAAATTCATTTATTATAATAAAATGAATAATCTAATTTCATACATTAAACGTGCATTGCTTTTTATTTAATATTAAGCTATATAATAATTATTCATTAAAAATGCAATTTAATTTATAAACTACAAATGAGCTTTAATTGACCCTCAAACTAAGCTTGTCGTCTACTGACCATGTTTCTTTTATCGCGCATGTGGGAGAGTAATCGTCTCTGTCCTTGTCTTCCCGACAGCAGGATTCCCGACAGCATTAGTGAGTTGACCGTGGCAGGGTTCAGAGTACTGTGATTCACCGTCTCAGTTTAACAAAGATGGGCCAGTGTCTGTCGTCTTAAAACAATCTCATTTGGACAGCGAGGAAGCCTATTATTAGCACCCTCTTGTTTTAATCTAACACTGGGATTAGGCTGCAATTAATCACTCTTCCACGCACATCTCTGTTAAGTGTATTTAATTTGATGCATCTTTAGATTTGGTGCGAGGAGGATTGGAACATCTTATTGCTAACGGTGTCAAGCATGGATGTGTGAATGGAGAGCTTTTGTGCACTTGAATAGCAGTGCACCATGGCATCTGTCAACTTCAGTTTCCTCCACATTTGACATTTTAGAAATCTATGCTTCCTGGAAATCTACATTTGGCATTATAAACCTTAACTTTT